TCCCTCCCCCCAGGTCCACTCCACTATGCAGCCTTTGCTCTGGACTCCTGTCATGACAATAATACCTAATCACATATCCGTTTTAAACAGTTCTCTCCCTCATCTGTTTCAACGCAGTATACATTATTTTCCCCATCTTTCTTAGTCTCCCCAGGACAAGGGAACACAGCATCCTTTAAAATCAAGAAAGCTGTGTCAGGGCTGTATTCTTTATACCTATTCGATCTGTATGCTGAGTAGATAATTTTAGAAGCTAGAGTGGTATCCGAATCGGGGGAAGACTCAACAACTTATATTATCCAGATAATACAACCTTGTTTGGTGAAAGTGAGGAAGTCTTAAAGCACTTACTGCAGAAGATCAAGGACTTATAGGCAACATCATGGATAGGTGGAGAAAGATTGAAATTGTCAGTGATTTCATCTTGCTTAGATCCACAATCAGCACCCGTGGTACTGGCAATCAAGAAAAGACAAGACATACTGCACTGGGAAAATCTACTGTCAGGGACTTCTCCAAAGTGCTAGAGTAACAATGTCAGTTTAAAGACTGAGGTGTACATGATCCAAGCCATGGTCTTTTCATTTACTTACTATGCATTTGAAATCTGGGCAATGAATGATGATGGAAGTATCAATGCCCTTGAGTTGCATTGGAGAAGAGTACTGACTATCCCATGCACTGCCAAAAGAACAATCAAATCTGTCTTAGGGGAAGTGTGTGTGACCAGGGTGTTCCTTGGAGGCAAGAATAGTGAAACGTCATCTCACATAATTTGAGCATGTTGTTAGAAGGACCCAGTCCATGAAGAAGGACATCATGCTTAGAAGGGCTGGAAGGAAGATCAGCAAAAGAGAGGACACTCAACAAGATGGATTGACAGGATGACATAACAGTGGGCTCAAATATATTGGAGATGGTGATGACGGCACAGATAGGTTAAGGAATAGATCCATTTTTCATAGGATCTGTGAGTCACAGTTAACTCGAAGGCACAAGAGTCCTACTCAGTTTGACAGCAGTGGGTTTAGCTTTTCAAAAGTTTGCTTCCTGAGTTGTGCTGCTATCTGAAAGGTATACAACTCCTGCTGTTTAAATCCACCAGTGGCTCCATAGGAGAAAGGTAAGTGTCTTCTGGTTATAATCTACAACCTTGGAAACATGAGGGAGGGTCACTATGAATTGGAACTCACTGGGTCTCTGTATCTGAGTTTTTGAGCTTTTTAGAGAGCCCATATCATAAGGAGTTGTTGAAGCTTCCTAGATGGAAGTCCAGAGGGTAGAATGAGTTACACACAAATGTCTTCCTGAATACAAAAAGTAGTAATGCAAAAGTGAAAGTAATGCTGAATTAGGAATAATCAAAAGTCTGTAGGTTTGCCAATATTAGGTGTGGTACAAGTGGACTCTGGTAAGCTAAAAACATTAATTCTTGAACTTTTCATAACTGCTAATAAATACAGGTTGAACAGGAATGCAAAGTATATGCCATGTAGAGAAAAATTCTAGCACTACTGGGGAATACTTTTGAAAAATCCAGAAAGTAATAATCAACCTTGTGTTGTGTGCTATCGGGTTGGCACTCACCCATAGCTGACCCTCTGGCGAGTTTTCAGAGGCAGTTAATTGCATGGGAGGACATTGCCCATCCTTCCACCAAGCAGCTGATGGACTCGACTCATGTGCCTTTGGGATTGCAGCACAGCTTCTTGCCGTTAGGCCACCAGAGTTCCATTTAAGCAAATATGTTAAGCCCAGCTGACTGCCTTTGCAGGTGTTCTGACTCAGCAACCCTTCTCTGCACTGCTGGTGGACACAGACCACCACAGACGGGCTGGTCAACTTACTACTGGATCATGCCACCAAAGTGTCTTGTAGTAAACAAGTAAAAAAAAAAATTCAAATCCATTACTGTCAAGTTGGAATCAACTCGGCTGGCCCTCTGGTGGGTTTCTAAAGATAGAAATTGCAAGGGGAAGACTGTTCCTCTTTCCTCTGCAGAATGGCTAGTGGGTTTGAACTACAAGAGACGCATGGCTTTTGGCCTGCATCTCCCTGTGACCTAGGCTTCCAGAGCAGGTAGTAAACGAAGTAATAAGGTGTGGTTCTTCCTTGTTAAGGAACTCTACTGATGGCCACTGAAATTTTAGACATTTCGTGATTTACTGGCTAGGCAAATGATCCTATTTTAGGATTTGTTAAGAGTACTTTCTCTTTTAAGAGATGCATCTAGAAATGCTTTGGATTTCATTCTTTTTCAAAATGAGTTTTAGTAATAGTGTGCATCACAATACCGATTATTCTGTGTCAGCTAAGATCTTGCTTTGAAAACTAAAGAAACTGGCTTAAGGTTTAATGAGTGTTAACCTGTGTAAGGAATCCAAGACCAAAAATCTGAGAACTAGGGCAGTTTTAATAGAATTCTCAGTGGCAGCAAGTGTAAATTGTGTATCTCTGTAATGAGTCCTCATAATTAAGGCTGCTAATTGAAAAGTCGATTCCAGCAGCTGCTTTGTGGGGAAAAACAAGCAGTAAAGCTTTCAGGTTTATAGCCTCAAAACCTAATGGAGGTTCGCCACATGTCAGAATCTACTCGAGACAGTAAGTTAGGTTTAATTTTTTTAGTATACCTCCATCCAAATGATGTAGCCTGATGTTTTCAAGAAAAGTGCCAATTTTCAAGTTTTCATTTTAGAGAATTAAGAATGTAGACATTCACTTATTTAAGAATTGAGAATATGCTTCATTCAGTTA